TCACCTCATCATCACAAGAAAAGCAACTAGAACAAATGACATGGAGGATCTACTCGAAGATTGAAGATCAGGTGTACTGCTGGTCACCCTTGTTACCCAATAGAGTACACAACCCAACACTCAAATATTCTGAAAGGCAAAGATACAGACAAACCCACCTATCTGAAGGAAACGACGCGAAGCACCTACACAAAGAGATAGAGAGAAGACTTAGACGAAATATCTACATCTTTACTTGCCTTTGGAAAAGTAAACACCTAGCTATCCTAAAGGACAAGTAAAGAGGGGCATCTGTAGACACCTAATTTCATTTGAACCTGCAAATAAAGAAATGGACTTCTATTATGAAGAAAAGGAGCTCCAAAAGCTTAGAAACAACATGATATGACATCAGAAGGCCCAAAGCCAAATAAGGGTAATTTAGTAGCCGGGAATGGGCCATTCCAAACTACTAAAAAGGCCTAGAAACCCTAGTTGGGAATGTCTCGTTCCCATCCCATAATGGGCCGTTCCAACACAAGTTGTTATGAGTTAAATTCAAATCCATAATGGGCTGTTCTGACACCAGAACGGGCCATTTTGACATCGAAACGGATCGTTCCAGATTCAAATTTTACTCTTAACAAACTAACCCAGAACAGGTCGTTCCAAAATTGGAATAAGTCGTTCTGGTCAGTTTTGACGTCTATAAATAGTAAATTCGGGCACTATTCCCGAGGCCATAAAAAAATCATCTAAGAAGTCTCATATAGCTCGAAACTTATTTCTATCTCTCCTTTTGTATTTTTTGAGATTTGTGAGGTATTTTTGTGTAGTGTGTAAGGCAGCCAAAAGGCGCCTCAAGTCTCCCACACTTGAAGAATATTAATAAAGCTTGTTACGAGGTATTATTCATCAATCTCTTTCTCCATCTTCCATTTCCTTTATTTTAAATATTGTTATAATAAAAGTTATCATGTAGATGTCTTAGGATCAATTGAATAATTTAAATTTAAATATGTAAATAACCATTCATAAAGGGGACTAAATATCTAAACTATTAATTCTTATCACGCTATTTTCATCATAGGGTACCGATTTAGGATGTTGTAGGGGTGCATAATACCTTCTTTACATGTAACCGACCCTGAACTCAATTTTGGTTATTTAGGCCATTATTGAATTTTTGAAAATCTTTTCTTTTTCCAATGTTTTGAGCAAAATATTGGTGGCAACTCCATGAACTTATTTTCAAAATCATTAATTGGGGATTAGTTTGGTCTCTGGGAATTCTTTAATTAATGAGATTTTTCAAAATGGTAGTGCAAACCATTAGTCGTAAGATTAGAATTTTTCGGGTTATGACAATGGGCAAACAAAGGTAGTTAATAGATCTCTTGGTACTATTTTAAGGACAATCCTCAAAGGAAATAAGAAGTCATGGGATCACTATCTACCACACATTGAGTTTGCATACAATAGGGTAGTGCATAAAACAACAAAAATGTCTCCATCTAAAGTAGTTTATAATTTCAATCCTCTTACACCTTTAGACTTGGTTCCTCTTCTAGTTGTTGCTTCTTTTATTCATAAAGAATGATCATCTAGGGCTGAGATTTTGAAGAAATTACACGAGAAGGTTAGAGACCATATTTAGCTTCAAATAGAGAAATACACTAAATATAATAATAAAGGAAAAAAAGAGGTTATCTTCAATGAAGGAGATTGGGTTTGGCTTCAGCTTAGAAAAGAAAGATTTCCTACTAAAAGGAAGTCCAAACTCAATCCTAGAGGGGATGGACTTTTTCAAATCCTCAAAAGAATAAACAATAATGCATACATCTTAGACCTTCATAGAGAATATGGAGTAAGCCCTAGTTTCAATGTTTATGATCTATCTTATTTTGTAGGGGATGATCATTTTGAGGAAGAGGTGTGTATATGGATTTGAGGTCAAATCCTCTTCAAGAGGGAGTGGATGATGGAGGACCAAGGACCAAGGGTCTAATTACTATAGCAATGGTTAGGAGGATGGAGGAAAAATAGGCTAACATTGAGAAGGTAAAGCCCCAAGAGACTTTTTAATTGGGTTGTGCCTTAAAGTCCATGTAGATTAGGGTTTTAGCCCGTGTGGGCTTGTATTTGTTTTTTGTGGGCTTTGTATTTTGGTCATGAAGTTTCGGAATTATTTTGGGCCTTGTATTTTCGGCCACATAAGTGTTAGGAGTGTCAAATACATGTGTTTACATTACATGTGATTTAGATCACATTTAAAGTGCATTTGGTGCCATGTGACCTGCCACGTGGGGTGGTGCACATGACATGACCAAATTCACTTCAAATGTGAACTAAATCACATGAAAATGCAAGCCACACATGTAGGCACATGGTGGATTTGGAATCTTTGGCTAACACATCCAAATTTGAATTTTCAAATTCAAATTTTGCACCTAGTTTAAACTAACCATACCATGGTTATGTTTACCCTAGGTTAGGTTAGCTTAGCTTCCTTGGTACTCTACCTATGCCTATATATTTTCATTGGTCGTGTATTTTACCTCACTTTGAGCATTTTAAGAGAGTTTATACTTCAGAAATTCTCTCTAGCCGAAGTCACTCTTGTGAGGATCTTCTTCCATTCACCTTGAGATTTCCTCCTTGTAGCCTTATTAGGTCCTTGGACACTTTTATCCAAGGAGCTTAGCTTAACCTTAGGCAACTCTCTTTCTCTTCTTGTTTCAAATTAACCTTGAATATTCTCAAGGATTTAAGAGAAGGTTGAAGGAGCAAGTCTGGAGTTGGAAAGCGAATCTACTTGAGCCCCATCAAAATACTAGTAAAAAACACCACAAAAACTTATACACTTTTCCCGACCATTATAAGGGTCCTTAACATCATGCAGAATAACAATTGTTAGTAAATATTTTAGCGACATTGTATACAATAGCTAATGTGAAAATGCTGATAAAAGATTTTACAGTAAATTTTATTATCATTAAAAGTTATATTAAATGTCACTAAAAAATTATTTTCTCATAGTTAACTGTCTTTATTATTTCTGTCCGCTTAAGATCGATGCTTATTTTTTGCTTCTAAATGTGCGTTTTCTTGTACTGTATATTAATAATGTAACAACGCTTATCACTTATGAGGACTAACTTAATATTTACACACAAAAAAAGTCGAAAATTTATAGTAATACACTAACATTTAAGAAATGCTTGAGAACTTACCGAGGAAATTGATACCGTTAACGTATCATAGAAATTGATGGCGAACCTAAAACCTCGAGCTAATGGAGTAATTTATTTTGAAAAATAAAAAATAAAAATAATTATTATCATACATACAAACATAAATATATAATTACATGAAGAAGAAATAAAAACACTGGATAGAAATGAAATGTCCAACTCAATAAAGAAATTGTGCATAAAACAACCTTGTGACTTCAAAACAGATCAAATCATAAGAAATAAGTTAACTAATAAAAGAAAATTTTCGAAAATTGGGTAAAATGGATTCAAATTAATAAAAGGGAGAATTGTTTTTTAAAGAATATAAATATATACTTGTATTATTTGCAAAGCGATGGGGGTAAGAAAGAACTATCCTTCAGTTGTACCTGGCCCATCACATATAGTAACTCCCCTAAATATGGTTTTCTGCAAAATATAACTCTAAAATCTTTTATGGTTAAACTCCCGAACCAAATTCGAAATATGAATTACATACTTCGTGAGAAAAAAAAATAAAAATTAAATGAATGAAGTTTAATTTTATGAAATGTATCCGTGTGTTGATTAGCATGCTCAACCTTAGTAGTGTCTTACTCTTAATCATTGATTTCCCTTTTCAACCTACTCTTTATTTGACTGAACTGCGTTGTCCTTGTCCGCTCACAACAATATATACAACCAAAAAACAACAAAATGAAAGGGATCCAGTAACCACTTGATTTATAAATATTGAGAGCATGGAGCGAAAAAAGCAAACAATACCCAAAAACAAGATGCAAAAAACAAAAGGCTTTCACATGTAATTATCAACAGAAAACGAAAAAGATTAAAAAAAGGTAAGAAACACAAAGAAAGAACCCACGAGAGAAAGAGGATGCCTTGTTTATTTGTCTCCTTTGCCCTAAACATGGTGATAAGAATGATTTGATCGTCGCCATTTCATTCCCTCAGCCGTAGCTTTCCATTCTCCAAAATTACAATGACACCCCCAATGGAATATTTCTTAACAAATTACAATGTCACAATGTAAAGATCTTTTGTATCGTTGTTCAAAACAAATTATCTAAATAATAAGTTTGTTACTTTATTATAACCACTTTAAAATATACTAAAATAATTTTTAATTGATTAGTTTATATTTTTTTATTTTACTATTATTATGAGTAAAGTGATACTTCTAGTTGAGACTCTATATCTAGGACAGGAATTAAACTTGTTGGATTGAGGGATTGAGTGCTTACCAATAGGCTATAAGTTATAACATATACTCAGAGCACAACTCTTTCTACATATTTGTAGAAGTTCAAATGTCAAGTGTTGATATGACTTAGACTCATCTAGGTCTCTGCTATTGATTATCACTTGATCCACGTGAGCATCTACCATGGGACAATTGATGTAACTCAACAAATAATCTCTTCGACAATTGCTTTTTCTGTTGGGAATCTAGCACGCAACATTTACTAATATTAATTGTTGGATTAATTGCTTACTTTTAGTCAAAACCTATAATTGATAATTAGAATGCAACTCTCGCTACATAATCATAACTGCTCAAGTGTCATGTGTCAACTATGATTTGACACACTTGAACCTTTACAATCGAACAATTGATGTGATCTAACAAATAAAATTTTAATTTTTAGTTAAAAAACACAATTATCAAACCATTTATGCTTGCAACTTTTGATGGTATAAAGCCTTTTAAAAATCAATATTATTAAACTCTATTTTTTTCCTCTTTAATTTTCTTTGACAATCAACAATTTATCAATACCTTTACTAGTGCAAATCAACAAGTCAATCATCTTAGTATCAAACTTAATCTCTTGGAGTAAGGTTTCGAGTTTGACTTTTACGCTGAAACATGATAAAAAAAAAAATCTTGCTAAAAATAACTATTCAGATTACCAGATAATCATACCAATAATAATATGATTAAAATAAAAAATCTCACGGGTGCACAAAACTAAAAATAAGAACCATACACAGCAGAAGTGCAGCGCGCTTAAGCATTTGCCCATGATTCATAAATGATGCATGAATAATATTAAAAAAAAAATCAATTAACTCTTTCTATTTCTTCCTTTAATTTTAAACTTCCCATTACAGAAGAGCGAGCCAAATCCGAAAACGCTCCTAGTGGCTTTGTGATGCGGCAGATTCAAAACTGGGCTAATTCGAACCCCTTTACCGGAAGTGGATCCAAAATTTTTGTTTAACGAAGGTTTCTGACACGAATCGTAGAAATAATACGCACTTGAACTCGCGGAGGACGAGGAGGAGAAGGACAAGGAAGAACCAGAGGACTGTTTCTGCAGCCTATGCGTTTGTTTCACGACAACCGCGTGTTTCGGCGTGCTGGGCGCTGATCCTGTCGAATAGCTTCGCGACAGAAACTGCATAGAGGAACGAAGCATGCTCTTGCCACGTGTGGCGCCATCGCAGTTCACGCTGCTGCTGCGCCAGAAAGAGGAAACTGAATTGGCCCTTTCTTGCATCACGATATTATTATTATTATTATCATTGTTGTTATTATTGTTGTCGTTGTCCTCGTCGGGTTCCGATAAGAACTCTTTCAGCAGCTTCTTGCCTGTGGCCATAGGGTGGCGATGGGGTTCGTTGGAAATGGAAACTCTGTTGATTTGCGTCGGAACGATCTTACCGTTGGAGAAAAGCTCGTCAGCTGAAGAGAGTTTATGTGCGACGCCGTTTTGGATGCAGAAGACGAAGTCTGGGCTGGAGTCTAACACGCACGTGTCTGGTGCGTGAGGGTCTTCCACCGGGGCTGGGGCTGTGTGTCTGTGATCGTGTGAGAACGAAATTCGAGGGCTAATTTCTAGGCTTGGTTTATCATCACAACACGTGTTTATTGCCATGGATGAGTGAATAGAAATTAGTGTTTCCCTTTGAGGTGGGAATTTATGGGAAGAGAAAGAGAATGAAAGGCGTCAGAAACTGTGGATTAGTGGCTCTGATCGTGTTTGTGTTTGTGTTGTATTTTGGATATTGGATATTGGATTTTGGATTTGATTAGATTTTTTCTTTATTTCTTTTCGGTGTGACTCATCCGAGGCAAAACCGAATAAAGAGAGGAAAGCACAGAAGACAACAATCATGTAAAAGCTATAAAAGGATATCCTTTTTGAGTTTCCTAATGTTTAGAATTTAGCAAATTATCGAGTGAACTTACCATTATCGTATTTTAAATAATTTATTTACATATTGTACTGGTAAACACTCTCCTCGGTCGTAAACACTCTCCTCGGTCGGACACTAGACCGAGAGAAGTACCTAAATCGATGAAACCCACTTACACTACCCTCTTGGCTTGGGACTTGGCTGAATACCCCTTCTCGGCCAAAGAGATAGCCGAATGCTTTCTCACAATGAAAGGTGAAGGAAGTGAACAAAAAAGCATCAAGAAACGTCCAAAAACCCTTCGGCCTCAAGCTTAGCCGAACACCCCCTCGGCCTCAACCTTAGCCGAACACCCCTCGGCCTCAACCTTGGCCGAACACCCTCCCGGCCTCAAGCTTGGCCAAACACCCCTTCGGCTTTGAGCACGGCTGAGATCCTCCTCGATCTTAAGCATAGCCAAGCCCCCGCTTCGGTCTTAAGCCTGACCGAACACCTCCTCGCCCATACGAACAACCGAACACCTCTTCAGCTAAAAGCTTGGTCGAAAACTCAAAGTGCATCAATCCACGAGGAAAATATGATAGATTAGGATATCCATTACACAATGATTATCACGTCTAATTAAGAGAGATTAAGGTTAATCAAAGTATTACCCATCTCCCAAGACAAAAGGCCCACCAGGCCCAAATACGTCACTATAAATATACAGGTGATGGGACATAAATCAGGTACACTTTATCCAATATAAAAGCCTTTATTGCTCTGTACCGAACACTTACTTGATCGTCGGAGTGTCTTTGCAGGTACCCTCCCCACCCTTTGGAGACAGTATTCGGTCGGCACCGAAAACTTGGAAGATCACAAGGAAGGAGCAACAAGAAGAGTGTTTTTAGGCAGGAACATTTTGGCGCCCACCGTGGGGCTGAAACCGAAACGGTTCTCGACCCTGAAGTAAGATGGTAGCAACCAGGAGTCAGCAAGAAAACGCAGTTGTTCATAACCTCGGGATGCCCCGAGAACCGAGACAACAGACAAATCAACACGAAGAGGGAATGGAGGAGTCGTACATGGATCGATCTCAACCTCCCAACCCATCATCGGCCATAGAATAGCTGAAGGCCGAGATGTTGGAATTGAAGAGACTTCGGGAGAAGGACGCTCACGAGCTATCACTCCTAAGGAAGGAGAATGCGGAACTTAGGAGCGAGAACCGCTCGTGGCATCCATCAGTCAACACATGACCAGGGGGAATCATCAGGATGGTACAAAGAGACAAGAGTCTCGCGGCCACCCGGTGGAGTGACGATGACGACCATGGATCAGCAACGAAGGCAAGGAAAGACGCCATTCACTCCAGACATTGCCGGAGCCCGGTTGCCCGACAATTGGAAAAACTTGGCCTTAGAAAAGTATGATGGAACCGCCGACCCCGAAGAACACCTTGATGCATTCGTTACTCAAGTCGGGTTATACATCGGTGATGACGCTATCATGTGTAAAGTCTTCCCTACCTCATTAAAAGGACCGGCACTGAATTGGTTCACAAGACTCCCCCCAGGATCAGTGGACTCTTTCACAACCTTGTCCTCACGATTCGTAATACAGTTCGCCACAAGCCGACCTCATCAGCTCACTTTAATTGCATTAGTCAATATCCGCCAGGAGAAGAAGGAACCCCTAAGGACCTTCATGGAGTGGTTCGGAAAAATGACCCTATCAATCCGAGACCTAAATCCAAGAGTGGCAATGCACCACCTCATCACAGCATTAAGGCCAGGCCCTTTTGTAAACAGCCTATGTAAAAAGCCACCACGAGACCTGGATGACCTTAATTAGGCAGAGAGCCACTAAATACATGCAGATGGAAGAGCTGACCGAGTACAGATTTCAGAACCGATCTGACCTTTTCCTCGGAAAGAAAGAAGTTGAAAAGGAGCACCCTCCGAGGTCTCGTCCTCACGATGTACCCGATCGAGAAAGAACCAACAGAGGGCCTCGATATGCATAGTATACTCCGCTCAACACCAGCAGGACCAAGGTATTGGAGCAAGCCTTGGCCACAAAAATCCTTGCGGTGCCCCGCCGCGCTAAGACTCCACCCCACACGGACAAGACCAAGACATGCCAATTTCATAGAAAACCGGGGGCACACCACGAAAGAATGCACAGCCCTTCGAGATCGCATCGAAGATCTTGTTAAGTCGGGCCACCTTCAAAACTTCACCCAACCCTCAGGTAGAAAGAGATACGACAACTACCATGATAAGAGGGAGTCTGAAAGAGGGAACCGTGAAAGGGCACCTCCGAGACGTAGATCCCAGGAGCGAAGCAGGTCTCCGGAGAGAAATGAGCAGCAACGAGACCGAAATCAACACAGAAGGGTGATCAACACAATCGCCGGAGGATTCGCGGGAGGAGGGAGCTCGTCCTCGGCTCACAAAAGACACTTACGGACAATCAAGTCAGTAAACGCCGTATGTCGGACAGCTTCGGTCCACATGCCCCCTATCACTTTTACTGATCGAGATTTTCAAGGCGTCGATCCGGTGCAAGATGACCCGATGGTGATTAGTGTGGAGATTAACAATTGCCTTGTGGAAAAGACGCTCGTCGACCAAGGGAGCTCGACTGATATCTTGTACTAGAAGACATTTGAGCAGCTCGTCATTCCTGAACAAGAGTTGACACCCTATGATGAGCCCTTGGTTGGATTTTCTGGCGAGAGAGTGGATACCCGGGGAATTATAGACCTATATACCTCGTACAACATCCTATTAGGTCGACCCTCCCTGAACAGGCTCCAAGCCATCGTTTCCATCCCCCATTTAGCTATGAAGTTCCCCTCGGAAGAAGGAACGATCATCACTCTGCACGCCAATCAAAAGACAGCCTGCGAATGTTATTTCGCCAGTCTAAGGGTACAGCCAACTCCGAAGCCAAGCCGGGATGTCAATGTCATCGGCGATGTTGGCCAACAAAAGGTGACTGAAGACCTAGAACTTGACCCGAGAATGGAAGATGAGCATCAGGTCAAGCCAATAGAAACAACGATCCCGTTTCAACTCGGAAGGAATGAAGAACAAGTCACTTATTTGAGTTCCCAATTTTCGGAAGCCAAAGCAAGAAACATTAAGCAAGTTCTACTGAAGTACTCGGACCTATTTGCCTGGGCTGCGGCCGATATGCTGGGCATCGACCCAAGCTTCCACTGCCACCGGCTCTCAGTATGTCGAGACGCCAAGCCCATCACACAAAATAAAAGAAAGATGGGAGGAGAAAGGGCTTAGGAAGTAAGAGAAGAGACAACCAAGCTACTTCAAGCGGGGTTTATCAAGGAAGTCAAGTACTCTACTTGGTTGGCCAACATGGTAATGGTCAAGAAGTCAAATGGTAAATGGCGGATGTGCACCAACTACACTGATCTGAATAAGGCATGTGCGAAAGATGCTTACCCCCTACCCCACATTGATGCTTTGGTTGACGGAGCGGTCGGTCATCAAAGATTGAGTTCCCTTGACGCATACTCAGGGTATAATCAGATACCCATGTAGCCACCAAACGAAGGAAAAACGACATTCATCACTGATTCGGCTAACTTTTGTTACAAAGTGATGCCATTTGGTTTAAGGAACGTCGGAGCAACCTACCAACGACTCATGGATAAGATTTTTCGCCGACAAATAGGAGCATGCTTGGAAGTATACGTGGATGATATGGTAGTCAAGTCGACTTCGGCTGATGGCCACTTGAAAGACCTTGGTACAATTTTCGACGAGGTGAGGCGACACCACATGCGATTGAATCTGGCAAAATGCACCTTCGGGGTCGCCGGTGGAAAATTCTTAGGCTTTATGTTGTCAAGAAGAGGTATAGAAGCCAACCCTGACAAATGCCAGGCCATTGTCAACATGAAAAGCCCCCATAACGTAAAGGAAGTAAAGCGACTGGCCGGGCGCATCGCTTCCCTGGCTCGTTTCCTGCCCTGTATGGCGGACAAATCAAGGCCCATAATGTCTTTGTTAAAAAAGGCAACCAAGTTTCAATGGACTGAAGAATGTGAATCAACATTTCAAGACATCAAAATGATGCTCACAGCTCCGGCGTTGCTGGCCAAACCGGACCCCCAACTAGATATGATCATGTACATCTCAGTGTAGGATAAAGCAATCAGCACAGCGTTGGTTCAGGAGAGAACGGAGCAAATGCCGGTATACTTCGTTAGCTGAGTCTTGCAGGAAGCCGAAACTAGATATCAACACCTCGAGAAAATAGTTCTAGCTCTCATGCATACAGCCAGACGCCTCCAACACTATTTCCAGAGCCACAGAGTCCTCGTCAGAACAGATAGCCCAATTGTTAAGGTCTTGTGGAAGCCCGAAATGGCCGGTCGAATGGTTGCTTGGTACATAGAGCTATCACAATTCGATATTCGCTTTGAACCAAGGGGACCCATCAAGGCACAAAGCATGGCCGAATTCATAAACGAATTCACCCCGGGGGCATTCCCCGAGCCGCAAGTATGGACCTTGCATGCAGACGGGTCATCAAATGAACAAGGTAGCGGAGCCGACATTATACTCGAAGGCCCTGGTAAAGTGGTGGTCGAACAATCACTACGATTCGGCTTTAAGGCTTCCAAAAACCAAGCCGAGTATGAGGCCCTTCTCGTCGGTTTACAGTTGGCAAACGACCTAGGTATCAAAAAGATCAAGTGTTGGAGTGACTCACAAGTGGTAACAGGACAGGTCAACGGTACCTTCCAAATCAAAGAGCCAACGCTACTCTTGTACTTTCATGCCTTTTAGAAGCTGAAGAACAAGTTCGACGATGTTCACGTTGAGCACACACCCTGAGAACTCAACGCGAGAGCCGACCAGCTGGCCATGCTAGCAAGCAGCAAAAAGACTAGCCATTTGCGTAGCATGATACAGCAGGAACTGCAAAACCCAAGTATTGTGGAAGCCGAATGCTTGCAGGTTCAGCATGGAAGCCCTTGCTGGATGGATGGTATAGTTAACTATATTTTGACTGGAGAGCTACCCGAAGACCCCCTTGAAGCTAAGAAGATGAGAACCACAGTCGCACGATACACCTTAATAGCTAGAGAGCTATATAAACGGGGCGTCTCGTCACCCTTTCTCAAATGCTTAACACCCGAACAAGCGCATTATGTCCTCCAAGGAATCCACGAAGGCATATGCGAAACTGACTCGGGGGGCCGAACTCTTGCAGCCAAGGTTATCCGAGCCAAGTACTATTGGCCAACTCTAACGGCTGATTGTACCAAGTTCGTGCAACAATGCCAACTGTGCCTGCAACATGGACCCTTAACAAATCAACCAGCCGAAGACCTTCACTTTATTACAGCCTCCTGGCCCTTCTCGGTATGGGGAATGGATATCTTGGGACCTTTCCCGCCAGTGAAAGGACAAATGAAATTCTTGATAGTCGCAGTGGATCATTTCACGAAGTGGATCGAAGCAGAAGCGATTGCTGTCATTTCGGCAAACAATGTTCAAAAGTTTTTCTGGAAAAATGTCATCACCAGGTTCGGGGTACCCCATGCTCTAATCACAGACAATGGTCTCCAATTTACGGATCGTCGCTTCAATGAATTTCTTGAAGGACTTCAAATCAAGCACAGAATGACGTCGGTAGAACACCCCCAGTCCAATGGGCAAGCTGAAGCGGCAAACAAAGTCATCCTGAGAGAACTAAAGCAACGTCTACGGCAAGCCAAGGGACAATGGCCAGATCACCTACCTGAAATCTTGTGGGCATGCAGATGCACCCCGCAAAGCTCCACCAAAGAAACGCCTTTTCGACTGACACACAGCACGGACACCATGATACTAGTCGAGATTGGAGAACCATCGTTAAGGCGACAGCGATTCAACGAGGGAGCCAATACTGAAACACTTTGTGTGGAGCTTGACTTGATTGATTAAGCAAGAGATCAAGCACTCGTCAACATGGAAGCATGTAGAGTGAGAACAGCTTGAAAACACAGAGCCAAAGTCTGACCCCGGGAATTTCACCAAGGTGACCTTGTCTGGAGAGTTGCCGGAGAAGCAAGAAAGAACAGAAGCCATGGTAAGTTAGCCGCTAATTGGGACGGACGCTTTCGAATACGGCACAATCCGAATAACGGAGCTTACAAACTTGAGGAGCTCAACGGGAAGCTCATCCTGCAAACTTGGAACGTCACGCACTTGAAACATTACTTTAGCTAGAAACCCTTATGTAAATTGTTTCGGAGCACTCTTTTCCTTTCTCAGGTTTTTTTCTCTTATAAAAATGTGAAAGAGGTTTTACTGAGGAAAACTTTTTAACGAGGCATCACATCAATGAAACAAACACTTTTGAAGGAATTTCTTACATTTGCTCAAGTTAATCTTAATTAAATCCCTCCCGAGTACCCTCTCGGTCAAGGTGAAATACTTGATCCCTCCCGAGCACTCCTACTCGGTCGAGGTTGAACACATTGATCCCTACCGAGTACCCCTACTTGGCCAAGGTGAAAAAACTTAAATCCCTCCCGAGTACCTACTCAGCCAAGGAAGAATACTTTGTCCCTCCCAAGTACCCTCTCGGTCAAGGAAGAATACTTAGTCCCTCCCGAGTACCCCTACTCGGCCAAGGTGAAAAAACTTAAATCCCTCCTAAGTACCTACTCGGCCAAGGAAGAATACTTTGTCCCTCCCGAGTACCCTCTCGGTCCAGGAAGAATACTTAGTCCCTCCCGAGTACCCCTACTCGGCCAAGGTGGAAAAAATTAAATCCCTCCCGAGTACCTACTCGGCCAAGGAAGAATACTTTGTCCCTCCCGAGTACCCTCTCGGTCAAGGAAGAATACTTTGTCCCTCCCGAGTACCTCTACTCGGCCAAGGTGAAAAATTAAATCCCTCCCGAGTACCTACTCGGCCAAGGAAGAATACTTTGTCCCTCTCGAGTACCCTCTCGGTCAAGGAAGAATACTTAGTCCCTCCCGAGTACCCCTACTCAGCCAAGGTGAAAAATTAAATCCCTCCCGAGTACCTACTCGGCCAAGGAAGAATACTTAGTCTCTCTCGAGTACCCTCGGCCAAGGTGAAAAAACTTAATCCCTCCCGAGTACCTTCTCGGCCAAGGAAGAGTACTTAATCCCTACCGAGTACCCCTACTCGGTCAAGGTGAAGAAACTTAATCCATACCGAGTACCCCTACTCGGTCAAGGTGAAAAAAATTCATCCCTCCCGAGTACCCCTACTTGGTCAAGGCTGAATCCTAAGCCCGACAAACACTCCCACTCGATCAACAATAAACAAAGGTATCTTCACCCGACCGACGAACTCATAATGGACATTCTTCTTCCTATTACTCAAAGCGGATCCAAAGCAGTTCGGTCACTTAAAAAGTTAACTAAGATTCAAAGCGAAATCAAAAGTAAAGGAACGTGTCAACCAAAATGCAATCTGAATATGTAAGAAGAAACAATTCATTAAAAGCCTCCACGGCCAAAGTGGCACTATCGGCCAAAGGGTACATTAATGATATGGCTCGGATAGCCCAAAAGAATCAAAAAGAAACAAAAAGAACCCTATATCTATACATCTTCAACAAAATAGATGTACAAGCAAAAGAAAAACGCTGAAGCCCATCAATT